CCCCTCAATTTCTGTAAAGTTCTGCCACTTCAGGGCAAAAGGTGGATTTGGCAGCGCTGGGTTAATGGTTGGACTCAATAATCTTAAAGGTCATTGCCAACAGAAATGATGCTCTGATACTATTGTCATGTGTGGAGGGAAAGATTTCCATTGCACACCCTGGCCAGAGTAAAGTAATGCCTGATTCTCCAATATTTAAAAGATGGTGTTGGAGAGTTTCTTTGATTCCCATGGTTTTGGTGACACCAAGATTCTGTCATTTTATGCTGAGTCTGCAGTGGGCTCAGTACCTGCACTGAGCAGGAAACAACAGCTAAGTGGCTTTGCCTAATTGGAGCCCTTGCATTTTGAAGGTTCTGACTCTTTCTTTCCATTTTCCACAACTGACAAGGTCTGGATGGTATTTTGCTGAGATCAACAATCAAATCCTCAACGATTTACTTCAAGGCCCTTTTGACATTCATTGACAGTGTCTGGGATTTCTTTGGGTGTTATTCTGCTGCAGGCATAGATCAAAGTGCTCTCTCCAACTCCTAGCTGCTTGTCACTCAACTTGCATCCCTCAATCACCACAACCAATTGGAAACTTCTCTAATGAGGCTGCTTTATCACTTATGAACATTATCAGTCAGGACTGTGGGTAGATCTGTGAGTGAACAGCTTGTTAGTAGTAAACAGCGGTAAGAAAGATGCCCTTGGTAAAGGCAGATGGAATTTTGCCCTGCAATTACTCCCTTATTCTGGGCTAGCTTAGGATGTCTCTTACAAATGTGGATCTATATGGCAAATGTGTTTGCATGTCTCCTGTGAGAGATCATAGAGCCTTCTTCTTTGCTTTTCTCACCATTTAGTAATGGGGGAGACAGGTTTCTTTGTGGGGATTATTTGCTTCCCAAAATCTTAGAAGAATCACAGAATAGCAATAAAATGAAGGCAACGGGAAATCATGGTTTCTGTTCATAACACACACAAATCACAAAAAGTCAGAATTTTGTAGAAAAGTCATTAACTCCATTAGATAGTAAGAACTTTTGTAGTAAAGTCATTAACTCCATTAGATAGTAAGAACTAAAGGCTGTAAAGGTACTCTCAGGACTAATTACTGAAAGGAAAAGAGAGACAAAATAAAAGCATAATTCAATTTGATGAAAACAAGAAGAATTAGTTACTTTTTATTACTATTTGCCAAACATATGCTTTAGTTAAATCCTGAGAGCTGCAGATGATGTCACTGGATTTAGGAACATGGTTGTCTCATCTGGCAGTCATTAATGTTGTTGGTATGTACAACAGGTCTTCTAAAAATAGTCATGTTCAAATTAGAGTTGCAGAAACCCTGATGCAGTGGTTCTCTGTGGTGTCCTGCCCCATCTCTCCTCACATTTGTCAAAGACAGATTCTGTCTCTTCTGAACATTTTTATCCATGTTCAATAGTACAGACCATCAACACAATTGCTGTATTGCAGTATGTATGTTCAGGGAGGAGATCCAAGATGTCTTTGTTTTTTAGTTTAATTAAAGGTAAGTGGTAAATCAGAAAGATAAGCATCTTGCATGCTCTTATTGTCAACATTTCAGTGCTCACAGCTTTGCTCCTTGCAATCATCTGCTGCAAATTTCTCAAATATTATTTGACGTTACTCCACTAGTGTTCAAAACTGTTTAGCAAGGGATGTTAAATGCAGGCTGGATCCAGACAGCTCTGTGGGTCAGGGGAGTGCAAGCTGCCAAAAAGTGCACAGGAGGATGTGTTTACAAAAGGTACTGAAGGGTGTTGGAGCAGCAAATCAGACTATTGAAAAGCTAAAGCCAGACATTGATTCTTATGTAAGTGTTACCTAATTGTTACTTCTTCCCGGAAATAAGTCCAGCAGAGCTGTCTTTTGTTTCTTTACAAATGATCCTTTGTGAGGGCCCTTAACAGCAACTGTGAGGTTTTTAAGTACTGTTTATTATCACTGCATAAGCTTGACTGCAGGGACCAGCATTAGCTTTCTCTCCTGGGAATATGAAATGTATTGTCAGGGACATACTATCACTGCTGTGGGAAATACAACACCTTGCTAATCCTGCATTTGTTTCATGTTAGAACCTACACTGTGAACTCTGAACACCCCTTGTAGTAACCACACAGCAATACTCTAAAATACAGACAGCACAATCAAAAGAACTACAGTGTTTTTCCACACAGAATAGGTCCCAGTCATGCTCATGAAAACTGTGCGCACTTTGAAAGCTGTGTCCTCTCTAGAAGAGGACTTCCAAGATTCCCTTCTTTTTTTCCTTCTTTATTTTTTTCCTTTTTTTTTTTTTCCTTTTTTTTCTTCTTTTTTTTCCTTTTTTGAAGCACTGGGTGAATCTGAGGAAGTTCTCAGCAAGGTGTCCATCTTCCTAGAATCTGACCATTTGATTCTCAGCTTGCATAAAGATGTTAGACTTGCAGCTTTGCTGTGAACTATAATTGATCCTGTAATGTGCAGAGGGGAAATTCTGCATTGCTCTGCACAATATCCAATGCCCCAGCAGATTTTTTTCTACCAGATGGAAGGCTGAACTTGCTTTTGTTCTACTTGCAGCTCCTTCATATTTACTTTCCCTGAGTATGCAGATGTGAAGCAAAACTGTGAGTATACCTTCACATTTATGATCTAGCCTGCTTTAATGTAGTAATAGTCCCTGCCTCTACTTTTTGTAACACAAGCAAAGATATGCCATGTGAGAGACAGAGCAGCCACATGTAACATATTTCACAAGTAAAATATATGTTAATGATAATATATATGTTACTCTAAGATGGGAAAGAACAGTGTCAGAAACACCTGAAATATGAAAAAGAAAAATTAAATTATTTCAATTTTGATAATGTACCAATTTGCCATAGTACCAGGAACACCAACCTATGTTAGTGTTAATGCAAATTAACACAAAATTAAAATGACATTTTTCCTCTAGTATTAGTCATGTGATGTCATCTGTAACCTGACAAAGTAAGCCAGAAGAAAGTAATAATTTGATCCTAGATGTTGCAATCACAGCTTTTTCCCTTGCAAAGGAATTTAAAAACATGATACTTCAGCTGATATCTTGATCCCATGTAAATACTGAGGCATGTCTGTACTGATGGTTGTTGCTATAACCTTGCAGTTCCAAGGAGCTCCACTCGCTCTTGCTGTCAAGCCCAGTTTTAGGTTTTCACAAAACTTTTTTCTTTCAGGCCATGAGTCTGAAAAATGTGTAAGGGATAAACATGTGGAAAGCTGTGGAGAAGAACAACCTCCCTGGGACCAGATTACCTTTCACAGAGTTCAGCACTCCAATTGGAAGTTGGAATTTACAGGAAGGGAATTTGCTGATCTAACTTAAACTAAATACCCCTGTATGTATGCACTGTAAAATAGTATTTAATTACAGACACTTCACATCTGTGCTCCTACGAAACTCATCCTTATTCCGTGTATGAAATTGATGTCTGTTCCTGAGTGGGTAGATATTCCTTCTTCTCTTGACACTAAATCATGTTGTTACTTTGAGGAATTTTTTTTTACGTGATGCATTATTTATAAAGAAACCCCTTGCTGCATAGGGACAACTAAGAGAGAAATAGCTAATGTTTTTCACAGCTAAGACTGTGTATTTACATGCAAATACTGTATTTCAAGGCCTGTAATGATAACTCTTCCTGTTGCTTACCAATTGGGATACTACTCGAGAGACAACTGAAATTAGAGTCCTTGTGGAGGAATCCTAATGAAGAAGCCATCAAAGGCTAGGAGAAGATTTGCCTTTTCTCAGCTAGTACCAAATGTGAAATCATAGTAGACAGAGAACATCCAAATTAAACCCCATCCCTAATCAGTAGTTATTTGAGCTACCAGATTTGTTAGGCAGGGTACCTTCACAATTTGGGATAAGAAAGAAAAGGGGATGGGACAAGTAAGGAGTTAATATTCTCCAATCTTGCCTATCATCTCTCCTTATGAAATTTCAAAGTTCAGTTATAAGCCTTGTACTCATGCAGCCAGGGCAGTAAACATCATCAGCATGATTTAACAGGCTTTCAGCACACCCCTCATGATCATTCAAGTAGATAAGGAAAAACAAGATAAACAGAACAAAGCCATCTAGAAAATACTTCACTTTGTCAGTTGAAGAACAAACATGTATTACAGAGTTGCAGCCTGACCTAAGGTAAATTCATTAATTTCTCTCCTGCCCTACTCAGTTCCACACTGCTGAGTTACTGATCTCTGATAGTTACTGACCTTTTTCCTAAGGACACCCTTGTCCCTGCCTTAGGAATGCTTCCTGCTAATAATATTTAAGTGTCTTTCCCATATCACTTTTGACATATAATTTTGCTGTGTTTTTCACACCGAGGGCACTACCATATAATTTCTCTTCCCCTGCTGTTTCCAATATTGTCACTTACAGCCTTGAGCCTTCTCTTCTGACGCAGCTGGAGGATGGCAGCTGAGTGCAGAAACCTTTCTGCAGAGGTTTCCATGGGTAATGTTGATTCTCCAGGCAGCTGCAGTGCTATGCAGCAAGCTTTAGAGCTCCTTTTTATAGATGCTCTTATCAGTATGCTTTGACTCCCGGGGCCACAGTCATACTGAGAATTATCAAAATACTGTCGGTTCCCAGACTATGCAGGGAGGTAACTTGTCCTAACAGCCAGTAACCTTCATAGACATGAAGCTGTGAAGCCTTTAGGGAATAGTGTAAATTAACATTTAAAAATACATTTCTGTCCTTGCTATGTAGTCTGTTCTAAAGTACAGTGAATGCATCAACATTCCATCAGGAACAATTCACGTGAACAGGTTTAATCAGGCCTGCAGACTACAATTATGTAAGCATGATGCAATTTGCTGGGACAAAAACATGGAGCAAGTTCAGCATTTCATTACATTTTGTTATGGATTGAGAGCCTTAATCCATATGTAGATGAGGATTGACTAAACTTGGTAGGTAGTTGGTTGTAACAGGAACTACAGGTGTCTGGATGTGATGGTTGCATTCCTTAACTTCATTAGCTGGATGAGTTGTCTAGTCCTGGAGCACATTATGTCTGTGTTATAATAGAGACAAGCAGTGATATATAGATATAGATAGACAGATAGATAGATAGATAGATAGATAGATAGATAGATAGACAGATAGATAATTCTTACTTCTTACTGGATATTCTATACTGCCAAATCTACTCAACCTTAACTATCTTCTCCAAGTATGGAGCAGCAGATTTATTTCAGGTCATGGGAAAGTAGCTCCAGCCAGAGTAGAGCTCCAAGGAAGCAGGGTACACTTGTGTGGCATGGTTAACCAAGTACAGACAGAAAGATGAGTGGCTATACGGAAAATCACATGAGCTAGGGAAACCACGTATGCTGTGGGAATTTCATCCCTTACTTAGGATACTACAGCACCCAGTCAGTACTGAGAATTATCTTTTTATCTCTTCTTCAATGCTGCTGCATTCATATTTTCTAAACAGGGGCTATTAAACCATCTTGTAAGCAGTTAAGGTTTTTTTTAAGTTTAAATTCCTGTGTGGATATAAAAAAGCAGAGCTGCTACCTTTGCTGGAAATGGTGTTTCTCACTAGTATTTCTTATGAGCAGATTGACTCGTGCTGTTTTAAAAATATTAGGCACACTATATCCATGTACACCCATATTCACACACACCTTATAGGACTCTCAGTCCTATAGTGCTTTTCTTACCCCTAACAATTTCTACTCTTTGGCCTCCCTGAAGCTAGAAAAAAGGAACCTCGGGGAAAAAAACCACATATCTGATATTCAAAATAATAAATATATATTTAAATAATAATGATATTTCTTCCTAATAACTGTATTTCTTCTATTCTTGGATGGATAAAGAATCCTTATGGTCCCCACAGGCAGTCAAACCAATACTTCCAGCACAAATATTATTAGGGAATTTCTCCTGATGCTCCTCCTCCACTTCTGGCTTTAAGAGTAGCAATGGCTGTGATGTGGTGTATGAGGAACTGGACCACATTTCAGCACTGCTGATACATCAGACATAGGTGACGTGGCACACATGTCACATTTCACATTTTAGGAAGCATGAAGCCACTCCAGAGTAACTCCTGATAAGGCTGACAATCATCCTGGTATCATTATTTAGCAACTGCTCTGCAAACTCAAGAATGGAAGGCTTGCTCACTAAAATGCAGGGTACGAGACAAGAAAAGCTCTGAACGCCTCAGCCTGTGAAACACTCATCTGCTGTCTTCATCTGCCTTTGCAGGGAACACCATGTCTAAATGCCTACCCTTAAAGGGAAGTCACTATTTTAAGGGAGTCAATATTTTACTCTGGGAGCAGAACGATGGTAATTTCTAGCACACACGTTCACCATAACATAAAAACTTCAGGGATAAGGTTCATATGTAAAAAGGGGGTGGGAGAGAAGTTAAGTAAGGTATATTTCCTTTTGCACCAGGTGGCAGAAAGGAAGGCTGTGAGCTTCACTGGTCCAAACGTCAGCTAAGCCTACCCTTTTGTACTCTGCCACTGTCACCAGCTCCTCCAGAAGTAAAGGATCAAAAGTAAATAGTATCCTTTTCTGCTGATCACACCACCAAAGCAGTTTTCAGATTCAAGGGTTTATTACTTTTGTTTCTTTGAATGCCTTTAAAAGCAACATGATATCATCTGCCCAGAAGAGAGCAGCATTGATACCCCGGGAAGGACAACCAAGGTATTCTCTCTTGCAAGACAGTGAGCTGGCTTGTACTGTTAGACAAACTACGGGGATCCAATTATTGCGCTGAAATTTAGGAATTATTTCCATTAATCAATTAATAACCTAAGCATTCTTAGTGGGAGCTTTTGTGTGTAACAAGCATAAATCTGAGTCAGCCACACAGTTGTGTTTGTGTTAGACCAAAAGAAACTGTTCATAACATTTGAGGCTTGAGTAAAAGTACACTCTGCTATAGACAAGGCTACCCTTGACGCACAGCAGATGTACCTTAATTAATCACAGAAACAGTCTGCTGTTTGCAGGGAACTTTTGATGCATCCATTTTAAAGGGCATACACACCAAAGGGCCTGATGTTGACAGATGAAGTATAACTGTTACCTTAACAAATCTACGGTTTCAGGATTTAGAGGAAAAAAGGATATTCTGCTTAACTGAGGCTTCCTTCTTTTCTTCCGTGGGACAACGTTGCCTCCTATTCGCACCTCTGCCAAGGATTTTCTGTGAGTCTGGGGCCATCTCTCCGGGCAGAGCTGATTGCTGAGCGTGCCTCTGCCCACGCTCCGCCAAGGCAGCGCTGGCGGCGACTCAAGCCCGGCTTGGCAGCGGCCCCGGCCGGCGCTCCCCGGCTGCGCTGCAATCACGCTCCGCTTGTGCCAGAACGCGAGCGACTTCGTGATGCCGCACAGTAATTTGAGCAGGACCATCCTCCTGCAGGAGCAGCCCTATACCCGCTGAAGCACAGAATTCCCTCCCTGCTCCCCGCACAAAAAAAAGTAATAATTACGTTTTGCTGAACAATCACAGATTTTCACAGCACTGCAATGGCAGTTAAACCAAGTACAAACCTCTTTATTTTCTTTTCCTTGCCATTGGAGCTACTTTTACATTTCTGTGTGGGTGACTGCCTGTGATCCCGCAGAGGGAAGGTAGCTTTCCTAAAGAGTGTGCTGGAAGAACTGTTGATCTCCCTTGTGAAATCCCATCTGTTGTCTGCAGCAACTCTTACTTGCTGGCTGAAAAAGATAATGTTTCCCCAGCAGTAGCTGTAATTTTCCAAGCACTTTGCTGGGTGCAAAGTCAGAACTCGGTTCGAAAAAGGACAAGCAGGGATATAATTTTGCTCTTTCCATTCTGTTTTGCGGGGTGTTATGAATTAAGCTGCTGGCAATCTGGTAGGACTGAGTCCTTGTGGGCTTCAGGCTTTGTTCAAGACCTCTTAACATGAACAGTGTGTTAATTTTTGAGGTGGATTCTGGAAATGGGGAAGCCATTTTTTTTAGTATAATTTTCTGTATTATACTCCACGTTTTTTTCCAATCTGCATCTATTATTTAAAACGTATCTAAATGAATGTTAACTTACGGTGGGAACTAATCAGCAGAAGCTGAAGTTGGCAATATTTCAGTGTACTGGAAAAAGGTTCTTCACCCAGAGGGTGGCTGGGCACTGGAACAGGTCACCCAGGGAAGTGGTCGCAGCACCAAGTCTGACAGAGTTCCAGAAGCGTTTGGACAATGCTCTCAGGCACATGCTGTGACTCTTGGGTGTCCTCTGCAGGCTCAGAAGTTTGGCTTTTTTATGATCCTTCTGGGTCCATCTTTCAACCCAGAATATTCTGTGATTCTGACTGTAATGAATAATTAGGGGAGATTAAAAAGAACCATTTTTGGATTTGAGGGGAAAAAAAAAGAATCCCAAACCAAGCCAGCAAATTTAAATAATAACACAACCACCTCTTCTACCTCGTTATAGGGAAATTATTTGGGTTTGAAGAGCTGTACCTGAAACCACTTTCCCCCCGTACTAATGAGACATTTCCCTCGTGCTAAAACATTTGATTTTTTTTTTTTTTTCCCCACGACGTGAGCGAAATGTGAAACGCACACATCTAACCTGGGATTAGCACCAGGTCCGCGTCTCCCAGCCGGGCCGGCCGGGCAGGGAAGGCGGGTCGGCCCCG